CATTAAAGACAAAAATAAATAAATAAATAAAAAATCTATCAAGACCAACAAATTTGTAAGAAAGGAAACACAAGAAAACCTTTTTCTTAATTAGATTTTTTATTTCAAATTTGTTGATTTTGGAAATACGCGGTTTATTCTATGCTACACTAGGTAGATTTTTATCGTTCATATATGCAAACGCCCACACACAGACATTGGTGTGTGAAGATCAACCGTAAAAAAAACACAGTGTAGTTTTCATCGGATGTAGTATAGAAGTGACCCGGTATTATGTGTAAATCAATGTGTAGATTTTACAAAGTCCAGTATTTTCTCTCACTACACACACAAAAAAAAAGGTACTCTACCAATTTTTCTTTTTTAGAGTTATTGCAAATTAAAATGTGACATGTATTGCAAGAAATTAAGTTATTTTTTGACTTGGATTATTATCCCGTGAATTGCGGGTAATGTGTTTGTATGAAACCTTAATCTAACTATTAGCAGAAAGAGCGCCTTAATCAGTGGATCGGGTGTCGAATATTGCTTAATTAAATAACTTGGTTGACTCCTCAAAACACTACCTACTCACATTCTTAATGTCAGCATCTATATAATATATAAAAGTTGAATTGCATAGCTAATTGATTGACATTTGGCAATTACAATTGATGACATGTAATCAATTTCATCCCAAGTGGCGAATTGATTGGTGGAAATAAATCATCAAAAAACATGTCATCATTTTCCAAAATTAGAGGTAATTAAATATATTTAATTATTTTATTAATATATTTATATCCTACCATTTATAAAATGCTCTAAATATATCAACTTTCTTAGAAACCCTAAATAAATTTATTTTTTTTATTTCATTTTATAATTAATTTAATTTGAATTTAGTCAAATTCGATTTAAAATCTTCCCTTATTATAATTGCATGATTGGTGGCGTTACGAATTTTTTTAATTTTAATTCATAAAATTGGATTTATATTAAAAAAAATATTGCAGAATAAATTATTTGATATTATACATTTTACATGAGCATGACAAGAGAATATGTATTTTTTTTACTAATTTAATATTATATATTAATATTATCTGTAAAAAAGAAAGATACATGTTTGAATTTACTATCTTGCAAAAATTGACACTATTTGTTATGCCATGTGTAGAGTAATGTACTCCCAATTATGTACCATATTGAAAATCATACTACATGAGTTTCATTTTATTATTTAAATAACTATTTTTTCTTCACTGAATCCAGTGGCAATAAATTTTACGATTGATTTAACCTTTTAATTTATATACTAATTAAAATACAAATTTTATCATGATTATACTAATATATTGAATAACCTAAGTGAAGCTTAATCAAATCATAAAAAAATGAATTGATTTTATATATTTCAAAATATAATAATATATATCTATATAATATATAAAAGTTGAATTCCATAGCTAATTGATTGACATTTGGCAATTTTAATTGATGACATGTCCTCAATTTCATCCCAAGTGGCGAATTGATTGATCGAAATAAATCATAGAAAAACATGTCATCGTTTTCCAAAATTAAAGGTAATTAAATATATTTAATTATTTTATTAATATATTTATATCCTACCATTTATAAAATGCTCTTAATATATCAACTTTCTTGGAAACCCTAAATAAATTATTTTTGAATTTAATTTTATAATTAATTTAATTTGAATTTAGTTAAATTCGATTTAAAATCTCCTCTTATTATAATTGCATGATTGGTGGTGTTACGAATTATTATAATTTTAATTCATAAACTTGGATTTATATTAAAAATAATATTTCAGAATAAATTATTAGATATTATACATTTTTACATGAACATGACTAGAGAATATGCATTTTTTTAATAATTTAATATTATCTATTAATATTATTATACATTTTACATGAACATGACTAGAGAATATGCATTTTTTTAATAATTTAATATTATCTATTAATATTATCTGTAAAAAAGAAAGATACGTGTTTGAATTTACTATCTTGCGAAAATTGACACTATTTGTTATGCCATGTGTCGAGTAATGTACTCCCAATTATTTACCAAATTGAAAATTATACTACATGAATTTCATGTTATAGTTTAAATAATTATTTTTTCTTCACTGAATCCAGTGACAATCAATTTTACGATTGATTTAACCTTTTAAATTATGTACTAATTACAATACAAATTTTATCATGATTATACTAATAAATTGAATAACCTGAGTTATGTTTAATCAATTGATAAAAAAAACGAATTGATTTTATATATTTCAAAATATAATAATTCTCTTTGGTATTAAATTCAT